ACGTTTGTCTTTTTTACACAATTTTAATCCCATGAAGAGGAGGAAATATCAAACTTCTCTGTGAAACATAATACAAACAGCAATAAAATGCCTAATCAGTTTCTTTTATATTTGATTTTAAACATTCCTATTGTAGAAAGATGCAAACCCCAGTGGAAATAATTCACAATCCTGTCCCGTGTGTGGCTTTTGGTCTTGGAAGGCACGCTGGGCAATCAGATATGACTAGATCCTGTAGCTCAGCTCTGTGGTGAATGGAATAATAAACTGAAATCCATGGAGGCTGGGGAGTGTCCATCCCAAATTCTTAACTGCCAATGTCTCCACTGAATCACTGAGTACGAAAAATATTATTGTGTTGGCTCTTTAGGTTTAAGGGATAAATCCCTTGACCAAGTTGGGAGAAATGAGATCTATTCCCACCCAGCTTTGACAATCATTTCCTGTGTGTGCTTCGGAGAGATGCTTGATCTCTCTGGTCTACCATTTCTCTGAGTGTAATGTGGAAATTGTAGCACATGCTTTGCCTTCTCACAGGCATGAGATCAGTGTTTCATATCTAGCACATACTCTCCCACGTAGTATGAGTTCAAAAGAGCCTTGTTAATTGGAGAAAAGAATTAGTGAATTAATTAATATTCCCTTCTTATTTTTCAAAGCATTTGACATACATGGATAAGGTTTACACTTACTAATTATCCTTATTAACGAAACTAAAGTCAGCATTACTTTTCAACACCAGAGGGACTTACTTCACCATCGAAATCCTCCTTTAAAGTTGGGAGAGAGCAGTGAAACCCAATTAGAATCACAGTCACTCCTGAGACTTCAACCACCATCTGATGAGTCCTGCTCTACACGCCCAGCCCTACTTCTTCAGTGAGCTAGCGGCACATCCCTATTTCTGATTACCTACTTGACAGCTCCATCTAGCTGTCACACAAGCACCTCCAATTTACCAGTCCAATCCAATGTTAATTTAACTTCTTTCCCCCAAACCCACTTTCCCTTTTGGATTCACAACCCCTGGTACCAAGATCACAATGCACTCAATTTCTCAGGTACGGAAGCTTAAAAGAACACTGGCATTCTCTAATTGGTCATCAAATCCTGATCAGTCTGCCTTATGGGTGCACCATGATTCATTCAAGAAGTATCGACTGTGTACCTACTATGTTTCAGGCACATGCTGACATACAACACTGACACACAACAACAAGAACTGGACAAACAACAAGAAAAAAAGATTCTTGCCCTCTTGGAGCTTACATTTTGCTGGGGTCATCAGACCCACCAACACGAAAAGCAAAGTAAGTCTGAAGAGTTGTAATCGATACAAAGGAAATCAACAAAGGGTGACCTACTTTAGATGGAGAAGGGGGCACATTTTGTCTCTCTGAGGAACTGATGGATGACAGATGTGATTGGGGCATAGTGCACTGAAAGGAGAATGGAATAAGATGAAGTTGGAGAGGTTTGTAGGGCCCTGGTCATGTAAAGCAATAAAGTAAGGGAATTGGAATTTATTTGAAGACTTCGGGAAGCCTGTGAAGAGGTTTCACTTAAGGAGTCATGTAATCTGAGTCGTGTGTTAATATCCCTCTGGTGTAATCTGAGTCGTGTGTTGATATCCCTCTGGTTTCTTTGGGGAGAAGAGGTTGGGAGGTGGAGAATGGCTGAGAGGCTGTTTCAGTCTTCCAGGTCGGAGATGATGATGGTCCAGACCAGGCTGATGGCCGTGTGGAAGCAGCCATCTTTGCCCTTTTCCATCCCCAATTTACTGAATTATTTTAAGTTCTCATTCTATCTTACTTTTATTCTCCTAAAAACCCTCCTGGTATACCTCTAGGTTTAGATGCTCCTAATCTGGCCTCCGCACTGCTTGCCAGATAGATTTGTCCACTTTCCTTCACAGAGATCCCAATTCACTCCCTAACGCCCCACCCATTGTCGCACAAAGGCTCTCAAAAAGAGGTGAAGGATGTGGCACCATTACCCAGGAGCAATTTCAAATACTCCTGACCAGGTCCCACCTGACATACAGAGTCATATTCTCTGGGCATACATTCTCAAGTATGAATGTATACTTTTAATAAGTTTCTCCAAATGATGTGAATAATCTGCTCCCATATCTTCCCCATCATCCCCTGGAAGACAGGGCTATAAGACACAATTTACCTAAACACAAGATCTGTCCAGAACTGCTGCAATTGGCCTACCCTCCATTTACGGTCAACATCTCACCATCTCCTGTTATATCTTTCATTTATTTTGTTCCCTCAACCTTGAAGGAGAGGAAATACCTTGTTGCATTGTCTGGGGAGGTGGGTAAGCATAGAGGTAAATAGACAATTATAAAACAACAGGACAGATATTTTGGAACAGAGTTGGGAAGACTGAAAGTTGTCAAGGAAAGTAGTAAGATTCATTCTGTACCCTTAAGTAACTAGCACAGGGTCTAGAAAGCTAGATTTTGGTGAGCGAATGAATGGATGAATGAAGGATGAATGTAAACAATACCCACTACTCTAGGACAAGAAGAACAGAGCTGCGCTCCTCCTCCTGTTGAATTGGTGTCATAAAGTAGTGATTACTTTATATCGAAATAAGGGAGGACCCCTTAAACTAAGATCGCTTTTAAGGCAATATGTTCCCAATGAAGAAGGACTCCACTACTCAGGAAAGACATTTTATTTCCAAGCTTCTAAGAGGGTGCTACAAACAATAGAGGTTTAAAGTAAAAAAGAGAAGATAAAAAGAAAAATAAGTATTTTTAACTATTGAAGACAGGCTTTTTTCTTTTTTTTAAACTTAAACATAAGAATGTGAAAATGTAGTTGTCAAATCTAATCCAAATACATTCCTAGAAAAAGGGCTCATCCGTGGTGATGGGGTTACTTACAGCTGGATACTTGTTTAAGTGCTATTCATATTCCTTTTGAGTGATTTCTTCATTTCAAATTCAATTGGAGATCTGTGCAAATCTAGCAAAATATTCTTTGGATTACAAAAACTATGTAAAAAATGAACAAAACCTGCAATTATGGAAGTATTGAGAGTGTGCAATCCTTCACTGAAATGAAAGATTCCAAAGTAACATTGTCCACAGAATTTATTCCACTGAAGTGTTCAATTTGTTTTCAGTGTAAAGTATAATGGAAGTGAGCACTTCATAAAAACACTTCTCTTTGTATGCATTTGACTGAGTGGTAAAAATAGCATAGCAGGATATCAAGAAATGCTTGAAACAAACTTTCACAATAAAGTTAAAAAAAAAAGATAGTCTAAAAATTGTCTGCAATGAAAGAGAAAGCGTGTGCCCTGTGTTTAGGGGCAGAGAGGGGAAACAGTTGCAGAATGACTTCTAGTGGTGTTTCCCAGAGTATTGCTGTATTTGACCTTTGGCCCAGCTGAGCAGATGAAACGTCCTTCGCAGAAGTCCCAATCCCCAGGCAGCTGGCTGGGACTGCAGGAGACTGCGGGCAGACTCCCGAAGCAAATGGCACTGACCCTCGGAATCCACCGTGGCCCCTGCCCTCATTCTGAGCTTATTGTAAAACAAAGGTTTGGAAATGAATTTCTCTTTCTTTTATCAAAGTTTAAAACGCCACATTATGTTCAGAGGAGTTAAAATTACAGGAGGAAAAACAAGTAGCTTCAACTGTCAGAGTCATTATGAGAGCCTCGGAAGATCAAAGCAAGGAAAAATAGAATAACAGGGGTGGGCTGACACCTGTATGTGGCAAATTTATACTTTTGATTCCTTACTCTCCCAACCCCTAAATGCTCAGTATGGGGCATAAAATCTACATCTGGAACTTCAGAGTTCTGAGAATTTCATTCCTTCACGGATTTGTCCGTCAGAACCACCGAATTACTGATATACAAGATAAATGCATATTATATAACAAGTTATTGCAAAATCATAGACTGACCTAGAGCTTTACCATCCTTCTTTTTCAGAAGATGTGTGCGAAGAGAAGCCAGGAAGCTAACACCGACAATGTACAAAAGCTTTACACGATGTTACAGAATCTTGTCTGAAAAGAACATTTGCAAAGCATATCTGATTTTAAATAAACAATAAAAGCAGCAGACTACAACAGATCATAAATAGGGTTATTAAAAGATCACAATTATCGTAAATTAGAAATATAAATGGGTCATTAGGAACACTCAAGTTTTTTCAATGTTAAGACTCAAACCCAGAATTAAAAAAGAATCTTTTTTTATTTCAAAGGTTGCTTCTTATATTGAAGCTCATATTAAAGCAACAGTACAATGTTCATAAAATATAAGTGTGATGCCGTAACATTTCTTACATGTCAGAATACTGATATTTGTATGTATACTAAAATAAGAACTTTAAAATTGTACAAATAGATACATTAAAAATGACATAGAAATAGGGCGCCCCTCACTGAAACAAGACAGTTATATCTGGCACGTATTAGTTTAAGATGAAAGTAGAAGCAAAAAGATTTACAAGAATCAGCGTAACAAGATTGATGTTCAAGAGACATAATTGTACATTGTATTGTACATACATTGTATGGGTTTAAGCTGGCTGAATATTATATATTTCAAGTTTAAAAATGCACTACATATAGAGTGTCCATAGTTTAAGGCGAAATTACAGCTCAGAACTGTCGTCCTTTCTAATTTTGTGGAAGCTTCTTTGACAAATTAAAAAAAAAAAAGAAAGAAAGACTTAGATGTTCATAACACATAAACAATTTCCCTTCATTGTAAGTTCACCATGAGACTTCTCCTTCACTTAAACATTTTGTATGCCAAGTGGTTTTTCTCTAGAAGTTGATAAACAACCTCAATATTTGCCTTTTTTTGTGGGAAAAGGTACTTCACAGTATTTACCACTTTGATGTCCTTGCAGTTTTATTAAATGTATCCTCTCTGTAAAACTTTGCTTGTTTTAAATGAGCCTTTCCTTGATTTAAAAAAATACCTGTTTACATATCTTCTAGATTCTTCAGAACGCCAGACACAGTTCTTAAGGCCAAATTTGTATCGTTATTGTTAAGAGTCGTCATCAAAAGTGTCTTTGGAACCATACAAGTCTGCTAGTTTCTTAAAACGAGGTCCCCAGTTCTGTAGGTAGTCATAGTCCAAGTCTGAATCTGTGGTGGCAGACTCTAAGGAGCTCAGCGACCCGGCCACCGAGCCCCTGCCTTCATAACCGTAGATTTGGATGGAGTCATAAGGAGGGGCGGTCGGGTCATTATCCGCCTCCTGTATTCTAGTGTTGATGAAGTCATCCACATCCACACTGTTGGGCGCTGGCCGGAGCCCGGGTCTAGGCATGTACTGATACTCGGGTTTTATGTCTTTGCGAGGGATAAATCCATTGATACCATCAGGATTCTGGAGGGTGGCGATATCAAAGGCTTCTGTGTCTTCTTCCCCGCCCCCTTCATCATCATAGGTAATGATGTTCTCACGGACGTCTTCTTCCTCAAAGACGATGAGTGGCTCTTTCTTTTGTCTTCTCAGGGTCACAAACAACACTACGATGACTGCAAGGAAAGAAGAAAGTAAGCACAGGTGAAGGCCGGCATTCCCGGATTCTGGAAGGTATAGAGGGGCGTCTGCTGGGCATAGAGCATGGTGTGCACAGGCTTCAGACCTGGAACCCAGCTATGAAATGAGAGCTCCACCTAGAATCCCCAAAGATGTGCAAAATGGCCCCCCACCTGGCTCGTGCTCTGCAAAATGCTGCCAGGAAAATATTATATCCAAACAAACCGGCAAGCTGGAACTATTTTGAGCTCTTTACAAATGAATCCAACACTATTTGGAAGTCATCTTCCTAAGAATTAGAAACATTCTAAATATGTTCGTCTGCAGCCTCCTAAAAGTGGCTTATGCTCATTTCTTTGTGCAAAGGAAGACAGCTGCCTCTCCAAAGTTTGGGAATGAGGACAGTCAGAAACTCTGGGTCCTAACTTTCTATAGGAGGTGATGCTTAGCTCCTGCCCAGAGGTTGGGGGTGGGGTCAACATAGACCCTTCTCTGCTTTAACAAGAAATCTTATCATAAGCATGGCTAGATTCTCTTCAGACCACCAAGTAGAAGAGCAGAAGTTTATAAAGACCCCTGAGAGACAAATCTTCTCTAGCTTATTTGAATACAGGAAAATAGCATCAGCTGAAACTCCAGATGAAGCAACTCCATCTCTTCCCTGAAAGAGGGGCTTCCACTAAGCTCAGGGCATCTAGGATGAGTGAGCAGAGTTCCTTATAAGGAAAACTCAGATGCTGCTTAATTCTTTATGGATCCCCGCACCTCCCCACAAGATGCTTTTACAACGTTCCTTTAGAACACTCTCCCACACACTTAGCAATACTGAAGAAAATGTTTGTGGCTGAATTTGGCAAGTGGACTTAGAGCCCCTCTGGGCCCACCATCACTCTGAGACGCAGGGATGAGGGCGTGTACTTGCCAGGCTGCACATGGCTCCCAGTGCTCACCAAGCAGAGTCCTTCCTCTGTGCCTTGTTCTTGACAACACTTCCCACCAGACCACTCCTTTCGCTTTCTTTGCTTGGCTGACTCTGTCTTATCTTTCATCGTGGAAACCTTTCCTGGAACCCCATCCTGACACTAAACAGGGCTATTGGCACCCACTCCATGCACCCACCTGGCCCTGTTCTTACCATCATCATAACACTTATCACCTGGTTTACACATCCGGCTCCTCTACTAGACTATGAATTTCGGAGCTCTTTCGTGTTCTGTTCCCTTTGCTTGGAATATCCATTCTAGACCCTTTCACCAGCTGGAAAACTCTTTCAGCATCTGACAAAGTATGTTACATCCTCCAGGAAGATGTCTCTGACCTTCCCAGGCAATGTCGGGCACTTGCTACTCTTGTACCCCCACCACCTTTGGTTCATGGCACAAACCATATGCCTCTGTAGTTTACCTGTTCATGCATATTTTCCTTGACAGACTATGAACTTCTCAAGTACAGAGATCTTCTATGATTCTTCTCTTTATCCCCCAGGGCTGAACATAGGGCCTGGTACCCAGATAACACTCAGTAACTATCTGTTGAACTAAGCTCACTGGCTTTTCCTCACGTAGCTGGGCCCTACTAATTCACTCAATGGAAAACTATACATTATGGAATAAGCATAAATTTGATGTCATACATACTTGGATTTGAATCCCGATTTCTGTTGAGACCAATGATCTAATCTTCCTGAGGCCCAGCAATGGTAGATGCTATTTGCATCAGCACATTCTTGTGGTTACAGAGTAAACCACAGATGGGATGAAAGTGCAGAAGAACTAACTCAGCTGGCAAGTGCAGGAAAAGCTTCCCAGGAGCCCCATAAGCTGAGGCCTGCACCCAGATATTATATATGATGATAGAGGAGGAGTCAAGACTCAGCTTTAGCCAGGCCAACTTTCGCCCAGTTCCTTGAGTGCTTCACACACTGTCTCTTGTGTCAGGATTATTCTCTCTCCTCTAACTCTT